ACAACAACTGTGAGTTCATACCCCTACATTTTCCGCATTTTTAATGTTTTCAGGGGGGGAATACAAGCTAAACATAAATGTTTTCAAGAATATACATAAAACTTATGCAAATCTCATACTTTAAATCCCTTTTGTACTATGTTGAGCATAAGTGACGTTTTCACTAAAATTGCATAGTTTTTCCGGACACGCTATTCGCTACGTTTTACATGCAAACTATAATCGATATAGTTTGAGACTTTTCTAAAACATATCAAGTATAGAAACTTTCACTACTAAGCATATGCACTAAGACAGAAACCGTTTACAGTTTACATCACTACTTTATCATGGTATTCATAACTGTAAATATCATTATATACGGTATACATACGGATTTTCACTACGGTAGAACACTACTACACTACATGTAAACTAGATTGTACGATACTGTGAGGCGCTACTTCACTACTGTACCCTTAGGTGTACAGGGATAAATCCTACCATAGTATAACCAGAGTCTCCTTGAGGGAGAGCGTGAGATTTGTGAATAGATCTATTCGGGACTGACAATCCCACATCTGGACTGCTAGCTACAGTTAGGCGGGCACGTCTGAGATGTATAAATGTCATTTAACTCGAGCCTGAAGAACGTTGGAAAGGTCTCTAGTCATATCAAGCATGGTTATACGACTGACATTATGTATAAATCACCTTTAGTTTACAACTTAACACTCTTCAACAGTTTTATTTACATTAAATAGAACTAATACACACTACAACTAGGGAACTTTCAGGGTTTTCAAACAGAACGAGCATACAATGGTTCCACGCACGAAATACTATTACATCATGATTAGCATTAGCTAGTCACATGAAGTAATAATTTCGCATATCACTACAGTTTTCAGTGACAAGCATTCATGGTTTTATACAGAATTGAAAACACTACTTTCTCACTAAAGAAAATATCGGATTTTCTTGAAACAATGCAAAACACTTTACGAACTCATCAACGATTTTCATTACAAACCACCGCTTATGAACTCACCAGCTTTATGCTGATACTCTTTCAAACTGCTTGTATTCTCAGGAAATCAGTAGACAGGTACTTGCTGGATTTTGAGGAACTGGAGCAATAAGAGTTTTATGTTTATACTATACAAAGCTATTTGATGTAATTCAAACAAAGTTTCAGACAAAGATTCAAACTGATGTAAACATTTTTACTTAAGTATTCACTGTAATGGTTGTGTTGCTATGATTGCTATTATTCATTGGTTGTGATGCTATACATGACGTCCTCCGCCCCCAGAACGTTTCCGCCATCGGTTTCGGGGTGTGACACCTGGGGTATTCCATCTTGCGAGATGATTGGACCCATAGTGGTTGTAGTAGTATGTATAGGTGTATGGGCATTCCAACCCGATGGTTGTGGGCCGAGAGTATTCCATCCCGGTAGGATGATTGGGCTCGTAGTATGTTGGCATTCCAACCCGAAGGTTGAGGGCCAGGGGTATTCCAACCGGAAGGTTGATTGGACCCATAGCATGTTGTTCTTTGCTGTATGTATGTTTTATGTGTGTATGGGTACTTTGGGGGAAACTCACTAAGCTTTCGGGCTTACAGTTGCAGTTTATTGTTTCAGGTACTTCAGGAGATTGTGGCAAGGCGAAGGTGTGATCGTACCGCTCCTCATGTTTTATGATTTTTGTGATATGGTTCTGGGGATACTCTGATGTATAAACTATTTTGAAAACAAGATGTACGAACTTCATGGTTTTGAAATGAAATAAAATGTTTTAAATTGGCTTGAATTTTATGGGTGTTACAGGTATGGTGGGATTTGGGCCTTTTGGACTTTGGGTTTGGGCCTAAGTCTTGGTCCAAAATAGGTCAGGGGTAAAATGGTCATTTTACCCCAAGTATGGATTGTTGGATATGGATTGGAACCCAAATGTTAATTGGGTGTTATTATGTATTAATAGCTTGAGGATTCGTCAGGACATCAACCATGGATTTTCAGTGAGATTCAGCAGTCGAGGTAAGTTTCCTCACTGAGTTTAGCAGGTCTAAGGCACCAATGCCGACCCTTGTTATTTATGTTAGGATGTTAGGAGTCTGCGTGACCCTTGCATGTGATATGTGTTGTTATGTATACCGGGCGAGGCCCGATGACTGTACCGTATGCTATTGTTTATGATCATTACATGTGTTAGTATGATTATGTGCTATATGTCTATGTGTATAATGCGCGGGGCCCGATGTCAGGCGGGGCATAAGAATAACAGATCTGTATACCGAGCAGGGCTCGAAGTCGGGCGGGGCTCGAAGCCGAGTGAGACTCGATACCGGGCGGGGGCCCAATATGTGATTTATTATGTATGGTATGAGGTAGTTTGGGGAACCTACTAAGCTTTGTTACGGTTTTTATTTTATGTTTCAGGTACTTCTGGTTCCAAAGGGAAGAGCTCGGGAGGACTGCATCGCACACACCACATGGATTCCACTTTTGAGATATTACTCTGATTGATATGATGTTTGATACACTTATTTTCATTTGGTTGCATGGATAATGTTTTTGGAATACTATTTTAATTAAATAAAAAATGAACTTTTTGGATCATATATTTGGGACGTTACAATTACTCTATATATGGCCGAAGATGGTGATCGGAGCAGGAAACTGGGTTGCCTTCGTCCATTTTATTAGGAATTAAGAGGATTAAGATGGTGATCGGAGCAAGTAATATATTCATGATTTATTTTATTTAAGAATAACTGAAATAATAAAATAGAAATATATCATTAAGGGTGAAATATTCTTTTTAGGATGAACATGGATCTAACATGCAACAAAATTACATAATAAGGACCTCCTTAGTTAAAAAAAGTTAGGTACCATATCCATAAATTACCCCAAACTAAGATCATGTGTGTAATTTACTCTAAAAAAAAATTAAAGAACGCCGAAGCTTGCTAAAATTTCCTTCAATTAATTGTTTTGTTGAGATGAGATGACTCAACCAGGAGACTTGAAGTACAAAAAGGACGTACGAAATTTCCACGATTTGTGGTAAAGATTGCTCTCAGTATTTTCTTTCAGTTTCGCACGTTAGGGAGACCAAATACAACTTTGACTATCTTTATTTATTTATTTATTTATTGTAATAGTAAATGTTCTCCAATCATGCCACCCACCATTTAATTGTAGCTATTTCCATTCACAACTCAGAAGTATATAAATTGAGATGGTTTATAACTTTATATGGTTTTGGTCTTATATTGTAAATAAGGTCTGCGAATAAATGAAAAAAAAAAAGAAAAAACGAAATAGTTGTGTGAATGGGTTGTTTATGGTTTTTTAAGACAACTAAGACCAAACCAGAAACAAAATCACAATTCAGTTTGGTTCGGTTTAAAAACCAAATAAACCAAATTTTAAGGTTAATATAAAAACCATAAAATTATATTTTTCTTAAATAAAATCCAAAGTTTCAAATATAAAAATTTAAAAGTTTCAAGCATCAAATATAAAGTTTGGAAAAAAAAAAATATAACATAAGACATGCATTGGTTAAAGAAAAAAACTTTTAGGATTTTGGAATTAGGAACTTGATATCTATGTGAGATATGAAAATATAAAAATATATTTTCATTTTTTCTATTTAATTTTTAAAGTATAAAAAATCTAAATAAATTCGGTAATTTGGTTTGGTTCGGTCCGAACTCCACTAGAACCTACCTGACCATAATTCGGTATGTTCTGAAACCAAATCAAAAATCAAATTTAAAATTTCGTTTGGTCCGAATTTGATTTTAGCTTTGTTGGTTTTCTGTTGTTTTGGTTCCAAACCGATGTTTTCTCCAAGTTTAAAACCTTTATTTATTTGAAATAGGATATATATATATATATATATATATATATATATATAATATATATTATATATATATATAATATATATATATAATATATATATATATATATAAAAGTTGACGACGATATTAAATGAAAGTTTTTTATAACACATTTGTCATTGATAAAAGTAAACCTGATTATAAATTTCATTCTAGCTACTAGAATATCAAGTTTTCTTGACGGCAAATTTTAAATTTATCATTGATAATTGTGTTCCGATTATAATTTCTTTCTACTAGAATATCCCGTTTTCTAGACCCCAAATTTTAGTCGTTTTATTATGTATTATATAGGAACCTAATCAATATATTTTAATGATTAAAAAACAAAAACCATCTTACCATCGACACGGTCATATCTTAAATAAATATTATTCATATTAGTCTACCAAATCAAGTTATTATATCTTATATTGTTATAATACATTATATCCGGATTTTTGGGCCAACATTTTACAGCTATTAGTTTCATACTATATTATACAGATATTTTTTAAGTGTTTTAATCAATATAGTGTTGATAAAGTTGAAATTATGATAGTATAGTTAAATGCATATTTATCTAATAAAGTTATACATATTAGTGTAATCTGCAAGATAGTGTTTTCAGATAAATATGCAACATTTTATTTTATAATAAAAATTAAAACATTGTACATTGAACACGGTTACTTAACCATGTGGCATAGATCAAACATTTATGTATTCAACAATATTATATATTATATTTATTTTATCAATTTATGCAATTAACGTATATAAAATAAAACCAAGGTTAATCTAACAAATAACCAATAATATATTATATGCCTTTACATTGTTAGAAAAACTATTTAGCCATATTATAATAAAGTATTAATTCTTGTAGAACCGTTGTCGATTGCTTCCAAAATAAGTCAAAATAAGACTCCAAATTCAAAAAAATAACACAATATCAGTGGCCCACGTTCATTATTTCTAAAGAACAAGTCAGAAGTTGACTTTCTTGTAGACATTCCATCCGTACCATATATGGTACAAATGCGGAATGCCCCCCCCATCCAACTCCATTCACTAATGCCATCACACAAAGCATCTTCTTTAATCTTTCTGTCAAGAACAAAATGTTGGGGAAGAAGATAGGCTCAGTCAAGAACCTAGCCAAGATGGCTAAGGTTTGGAGTGGCACTGAGTCATCGCAATCTGAATGGTTACTCAGGGACGATGAAAAGCAGACAGATGTGTCATCTCACTGTTCTTCACCATCCAATACACCCCAAACTGGGTTTTTCACGCTTTACATTGGGGAAGAAAGAAGAAGATTCGTCGTCCCTACGAGTTATCTGACTCACCCTCTATTCAAGATGATGCTAGATAAGTCGTCTGAGGAGTTCGGGTTCAGTCAAAAGAATGGATTGGTGGTTCCATGTAGTGTCAATGCTTTCCAAGAGGTGGTAAGTGTCGTGGAATCTTGTAATGGGAAATGTGATTTGAGTCATTTGGTTGAGGAGTTTGTTTAGTATATATTATACACGTAGAAGAGTAAATAATGTTATAGATATATATGTATTTATTGATCACACTTCAATGTTAAAGGTGGTCTCAATTTTGATATGAATAGGATCTGTTTGTCAATAAATTAGATGTGTGTTGGGTTTAATGAGTATGGATTTATTAAACTACGTTGTATAAGGCGTTGGATCAAAGCCAATGAGATCTTTTAAGTTTCAAGTAGATGTGGCTTATATTCTTACATCGATTATTATAAAATAGATAACTTAACAAATTCAACTATAAATAAAAGATCGGATGAATAAAAGATTAAAAAGAGTAGAAACCGTCTTAATTATAATCAAAGACGTGTAATCTTCTAAATCATTACACTTTTAATAATTTCATTGTCACTTTCATAATTAATATAATTTTCTGACATGTTTAATATAAGACTCATAGAATAAAAAAACAATCGTTGGCGGGTCAACCAAACAATGATGTTCTAACCCTAATTTAAACAATTGTTGGCTTTATCCCATTTTTTATTTGCATATAACGTGATATACCTTGATTAATGGTCATGAGTCAAAACTTGAGAATATTACTTATTAAGGTAATTAAGTTTTCGGTTTGTTCACATCTAAGTAACTATCTTTTTTTTTTACATATCTAGGTAACAAACTTGTTGGAAGTATTCACATATGACCATTATGACCTGCTGTAGCAGGTTACATCCTAAATGTGAACACTTTTAACAAGTTCGTTACCTAGATGTGTACAAAAAAAATAATTACCCAAATATGAGCAAAACGAAAAGTAAGATTAAATTACACGAATGGTCCCTGTGGTTTGGGGGAATTTGTGTTTTTGGTCTCTAACTTATTTTTTTAACTCGGATGGTCCCTACTGTTTATTTTTGTTGCTCGTTTGGTCTCTGTCTTACCTAAAAAGACTATTGTGCCCTTATTAATTTATTTTTTAATTAATTTTCTTATTTATGTATTTATTTTTTTATATATTTAAAAAAATTAATAGACCCCACATATATGTATCTCCTCACCGTAAACTTGAAACCACATTTGAGAATTTTAATTTGGGTCTCATCAGTCACCATCCTATCTCTCATCCTCCTCAACTTCTATTTATTTTCCATCTTTAGTGACATTGAAGTCTTCACCATCCTTCTTTTTTTGGTCATTCAACTCTGGCGAACCAACACCATAACCCACTGTCTCTTCATCTTTAGCGGGTTGTGGTGTTGATTCGACGGAGTTGAAGGACAGAAAAAAGAAGGGATGATGAAGACGTCGATATCACTAAAGATGAAAAATAAATAGAAGTTGAGGAGGATGAGAGATAGGATGGTGAAAAGATACAAATATGTGGTGTCTATTAATTTTTTTTAATATATAAAGAATAAATACATAAATAAGAAAATTAACTAAAAAAATAAAGTAATAAGAGCACAATAGTCTTTTTAGGTAAGACAGGGACCAAACACGCAACAAAAATAAACAGTATGGACTATCCGAGTTAAAAAATAAGTTAGGGACCAAAAACACAAATTCCCCCAAACCACAGGGACCATTCGTGTAATTTACTCTTACTTTTCGTTTTGTTCATATTTGGGTAACTATTTTTTTTGTACACATCTAGGTAACGAACTTGTTAAAAGTGTTCACATCTACGATGTAACCTGCTACAGCAGGTCATAATGGTCATATGTGAACACCTCCAACAAGTTTGTTACCTAGATGTGTACAAAAAAAAGATAGTTACCCAGATGTGAACAAACCGAAAAATTAATTACCTTAATAAGTCATATTCCCGTCAAAACTTAATACGATAAGCATTGTATGAGTTTTGAGATGATTTTATCTTGTGTTGGGACTAAAGATAAATCTGCATAAAATTAATTTTATGGCTTTGTAAGTTTCAGATTCAGATGTACAGGTGGATCGGATAAGATCGATTATTGGGTGTGTTTGGGCTAGATCACAATTTGCATATTTTGGCTTGCGAGATGGAGACAAGATGTCTCAGGTGGATAAGCAGAAACAAGTAGCGAACCTTTTTATGTAAAAACTTTATAATGGGAAAGTTAGAATGTTTTCTGTTTGAGATTGAATAAATTTATTAAAGTAACGGTTAGGAATTTAGGTTTGGACCCAGACCGAATCGGATCGAAACCCGAACTTCTTGTATATCCTTGATCGGAAACCGGACCGTTTTATGGTGTGCTGGTCTGGGTTTCGGGTATGCTAGTTGCAGTTCATAACTGAGTTTCAGTTTTTGGACCAATTTGTAGCATTTGTTGAGCTAAATATTTGTTGGACTTCATATAAATTGTTGGACCATTTGATTCATATATTTCATTTGTTGGACAACTTTTACCAATTATATTATAGTGACTAAATTACCGACTTATTATTTTTATAATACAAATGTCACATGGTTTAGAAGTTGTCCAAAATACAATGAATTAGTAGTTAGCTTATAAATTGTTTTGTTAATAAAAAATAAAAATGATTTTTATAACCATATCTATCAGTGTAGGGATTAGCTGTTATACGTTGATAAAAAATCCTTTTCATTTCTTGTCGTGTTCGAGTAAAAAATGATATTTTGTATACAGTCCGGTCCAAACCCAAAAACCAATTTACATTAAAAATTAAACCGAAAACCGACCCAGTTAGCTATATTTCCGATTCGGTCCAGGTCCGGTACAGTGGGTCAAATGCTCATCCCTAGTTAGAAAGCATTATTATTATTGTTATTAGAGTAAATTACTGAAATCGTCTCTGTGGTTTGGTCAAAATTGCACGTTTGGTCCCTAACTTTTTTTTTGCACTCGGATCGTCCCTGTGGTTTGATTTTGTTGCGTTTTTCGTCCCTATGGTTTGGTAAAAATTGCATGTTTGGTCCCTAACTTTATGTATGTAAGGGACGAAAAATGCAACAAAATCAAACCACAGGGACGAAAAACGCAACAAAATCAAACCACAGGGACGATCCGAGTGCAAAAAAAAAGTTAGGGACCAAACGTGCAATTTTGACCAAACCACAGGCACGATTTCAGTAATTTACTCTTGTTATTATTATGATTTTGATTATTATTATTATTATTATTATTTTTATTATTATATATATATATATATATTAAAGTTATGAAAAATAGTAACAGTAAACTGCATTAGGATTTGGCATAATTGGTCCCTTTCATTTGCTGTAAATCGGAATTGGTCCAGCTATTTATTGAAATGACAATTTCGTCCTTGCAAGAATAACAGTGCTTAATGTTCAGTCCATGGGTCGTCTACTTCACTCTTCTCTTTCACCACCACTGTTCATTCAGCAAACGTGTCATCTTCTCTTTTACCACCGCTGCCACCGCCTATGGTTTTCGTCTCTCTACCTTCCAGGACCTTCTCCCCAACCCTCTTCATCATGTTTATCTTAGCGACATTCACACCACCGAATCCATTCGATCCTTCTGGAAACGTTTTTGGGTTGCTTCACACGATCCACCGCCTCCATTAATGGACTTTTGCCTTCCAGTTCCTTCCACACTCCGATGCTCTTCCAAGCGACGACTTTCCCCAACCCACCTCCACCTGGTACGCTAATTTCTTTCGTGTACGACTTGTTATTATTATTATTATTAAAGCTCCAAATATATTTGTTTAAATATTATAACTTGTTTATCTCTGAAATGAGAATTACAAAGGAATACATTAAGACAATACCTAAACTATATAGACCTTAAGCCTGAACCTTAACCTTACACACTAACATATGGACAATTAAATCGATAGATTTAAAGAGAAAGAGATAATAAAATCAGTGAATGAAGATGGACATGTCGACAATATGAGCTGCAGAGTCAGAGAGTCGGAGATCAATAATCGGAGCGGTGAAAACTAAATCTGGAAGCAACAACGATGGCTACAATGACACCAAATTTGCAGACGACAACAACTTGATCTTCAGGCAACAACGACAACGAAAAAACCCAGAGGCAACAGTAACAGTCATGCCTAAATATAGTAAACCCGTGAAGCACACCACCCCAGAAATGAATCAGAACATCAAATGCAACACCAAACATAATGAAGATTAAAACCATAAAGACAACGACTTTTGCTAAATATGATTTACTCTCAATACACCAAAAAAACAAACTTACACGTGTACCCCATCCTTTTAAAATATGTTGAATGTTATTTCTATTGAATTTTATCGAATATAACAACCACTATCAACCAGATATCCTAACATATATTAAATGACATATAATTCAAATATATTTATCTATGTAATTGAATTCCCACACAATGGGCGAGAATTCATCTAGTTCCATATAAATAAAAATAAATTTGTTGACTATAGAAATTTGTATTTCAAAGTTGTCAATGATTGTAACCAATTTAAGTTAATAGAATTTTGTTTTCATAAAGTTAGTAGAAAACTGATATATATATATATATATATATATATATATATATATAATATATATATATATATATATATATATAGGGAGAGGATCAAATGAGAACACCTAAAAGGTTGAGAACGCGAGAACAATTGTAGACCAATCATTCCATAAGGGCGTAAAAGGAATTTTACAATGTAATTAAATATGGATAATTAATGATTTCCTATAATCATGGGATGTTGTCTAATTAATTGATTTTTTACCTAAATATTATAAATGAATTTAATCTATTTTTAGTCAAATAGATTATTTTAAAAAAAACTTTTTTACCATGATTAAAAAACGTTTTTTTTACCAGTATATCAAAAAAATTGATGAATTTATCATTTCAACCAAATATGTGTAATCATACAAAAATAAAACATATTTGTAATCATATATGAATCCACTGTAATCGTGAATGAATAGATGAATTAAGTTGTAATAATAAACGAATATAACACAATTTATAGAGAAAAATTACAATACAACTATAATAAAAAATAAATAATAACATATTGGATATATATCTAGATTATACATCTATTCATA